GCTATTGTCATGCATGCACATTTTGGGAAAAGAAAGTGAATACTCCAGAATACGAAAAATGGTATATAAATCACGAGGAAGAGTGTTCAAAAAATCACGAGGGCTCTGGAAAAATGGAGGTTGATGCGAAATCTTTTCAAGATCAGAGGAAAAGTACGGCGTTAAATATGGTAATTACATTGGAGACGGAGACTCCAAAACTTTCAAGGCCATTCTAGATAAGAATCCTTACGGTGATGAATTTCAAGTTGTAAAAAGCGAGTGCATTGGCCATGTGGAGAAGAGAATGGGCACTCGGCTCTGAAATATAAAAAAAACACAAAAACTCGGTGGTAAGGGCAAACTAACGGATGTTTTAATTAAAAAACTAACAACGTACTACGGTCTGGCAATTAGAAGAAATGTGAATAGTATTGATGGAATGAAGAAAAGTATTATGGCCACTTATTACCATTTGATCTCTGACGGATGAGAAGCCACAGCACGAATACTGCCCGCCCGGCGAAGACAGCTGGTGTAAGTGGCAGAAAGGAAAAGCAAATTTGGATTTTTTTGAGCACCCTCCTCCACTCGATCCAACAGTCGCAAAACACATTCTTCCAATTTATGAAGATTTATCTAAGGAAGAATTACTTCAGAGATGCTTGGGCAGTCATATGCAGAATAAAAATGAAAGTTTTAATTCTACGATTTGGCGTTTAGCTCCTAAGCATCTTAATTCTGGGCTGAAAATCGTTGAAATTACATCCTACATCGCTGCTGGACTCTTCAATGAAGGATTCTTCCATTCTATAAATTATGAGAAAGTTCCAAATTATTATTGGGAGCCAGACCAAGAACGACGAGCGCCGTTTATCTCGACAGAAACGGCGCAACTTTTTATGCTCTAAAGAAGCTCGACAGGTACGAAGAGAGCAGTTATTGGAGCAGAACGAATTCTATGAGGAAGTAGAAGGATTATTGTATGCCGCTGGAATTGCTGACTGAAAGGTAAATTATAGATATCATGCATCTTTTGCTTGTCAAAACTTTAAACGCGTTTTTCTCAAAACTGTATTTTTCTGCACTGCTGGAACTCTCATTTAAAAACTATTCAACCGATCGCACTGAACTTTCGCACACAACTTCGTGACATCAGTACAATGTCGGTGAATCTAAATGTTTGTGAAAATCGCGATAAAAAATTATTTATTTATTGCAAAAATTATGAAGAGAAAACGTCAAAAAATGAAAATTTAGTTTCAAAAGCGCTTCATTTTCAAAATTTTTAACTTTTTTTATTTTTTTTAGGTTTAACTACGAATTATGAGTATAATTAATAAGAATTTTTTTGCTGTCTATTGTAGGATCAATATCACAGACGCTATTTGTCCAGCAGCTGAGCAACTCGCACGCGAACCTGCCAAATGGGATGCTTCATATGTCTGCCATTTTGAAATATTTTTGGAAAAAAAAAATGTATGAATAGTCCAAAACATGTATAAATAAATATCCAAGTTTGAAAAATTTACAAACATTATTTCTTCTTCAAAAAAATTCTTGAAAATAGCTTATTTTTCCTCGTTCTAAATGGATTTCC